GTTTAGAAGGCGCCGTAAGCAAGCTGAGGAGTACAATGAGAACTCACCGGTCAAGCCACCCAAGGTACGCTTACATTCGTTTAGCTAACGAGGAATTAGTTCTCTTTTGTTAAGGTTCGTAAGGATGGAGAACCTGAAGTCGAGATGAGAAGTGAAGAAAAGAGTCTGAGAGGTGTGGATGAGGATGTCAAGAGCAAACATAAGGTAAATCTTGTTTGGTTCCTTTAATTCCTAATGGGAAAGGCGCCTCCTATTCTAATTTGTAGGAAAAAGAAACGAATGACCCGCTAGAACGACTTCGCCAGATTGAGAATCGTCTTGGCCAACAAAGGACGAAAAATCAACTTGGCAATGTACCGAAAACTGTGAGTTTTCATTTATTCAGAAAAAAATTCCCCGTAAAAAATGTTTTATTTACATTTTCGAGTCAAACTACGCTGTAAAACTTGCACGACACGTTTGAATACATTGAAGTGATCTGTCTTTCTGCTCCTGTGGTGTTAGATTAGGATAGGTTCGTTGCATAGTGATGAAGTCGCTAGCACATCGTTCAGCGCAGGATACTTGCATAAATGGAGCTGGCTCAGCAGAGATTTCATCGGGGCTATTGATTTGTAACGGTCCCTGCATAATCCGGAATTTAATTTTGAAAATCCAAAAAAATTTCATTATCAATTTGTTGACACCTTCTCAGATTTGAGAAGGTAGAAGAACTGATCCCCTACACTATAGGTGCATTTTGGATTGAATGCCTTATACAGGCTCTAACAAATAAGAGAATTCCGCAATAATTAAATCTTAAGTGCTTAAAAAGCTTTGGATTACACAAAAGAGTTTTTTTTTGCATGGATACTCGCTTGATTTTCTTCACAATCCATTCAATTACTCACCTGTGGAGCTCCTATGCTCAGCGTTATTGATAATGAAGTGAATAGAAGTGTAGCGATCACATGCGAATGCATAAATGTCTAGCAACTGGGTTTAATTTTTGATTGCTGTGCTCTGAAAAGTCGTGTATTATCCAACACTTTATTGCATATGAAGCGAACCTGTTTCCTTTACGAGACAAATCGATTTATTCTGGAAAATTAACGGATAATGTTGCAAGTGGCAATCTAATTTTCGAAAATTTACCTGATAGTCTTGTGAACAATAAATTTTAACCGCCTAACTGCAACAACTCTAAGGAGAATAGATGCAAATATAGGATTATAGGGAGAAACTAACATCAATTTAGATGTTCTTTTTAGAGGGAAGTGGAGTAATCTTAGAAAGGTC